GGTTTGGTCCAAACCGCCCAAAAAAGATTCCAAACCGCAGACCGGACCGGACCGCCCGGTTTTGTTATTTTCCAAACCAGACCGGACCGCCAGACCGCTCAAACCGCCAAAAACGGTCCGGTTTGACTTGGTTCGGCCGGTTTGAGCGGTCCAACGGTTTTTTTGAACACCCCTAAAACAACGATCACTTAAAACATTGAGATGGAAACATTATGGCATCCCTATGCTTTAGTTCCAACAAGATATCAGGATGTTAGTACTCAGTTTCTTAGTCCTAAAATGGTGAAAATAATTATCCTCAAGGGCCGGTCCTGACGTTTCTGATGCCCATGGCAAAAAGCCAAAAAAATGCCCCAAGTATATAAAAAACGGCAAACAAAACATTATTTAAGGGGTTTGGTCAAGCTAGGCGGCTAATCCCCACGCTGATTTGATCAAGATGTTTCAAGGTCTATCTTCATGAAAATGGTAAAGTCAAGGCACTCTGTCTACACTTCTCTACGTTTATGGCAACACTTCTCTACAAATACTATTGTAGTACAAAATCCTATTAGTCTTCTTTTCATAATGGTAATGTTTTGCTTGTATCACAATCTTATGTGAGTTTGAAACTTCCAAATTCATCTTCTCTAATGTTGGTTTTGTAGGTATTTGTGTCTCAGACAAACAACAATCAAGTGTTTAACTATTGAGCCAATGTTACTTACAATTTTCAGTAATCTGCTAAAAATTTGCCAAGGTCACTTACACGAGGTAGAATATGGAGACAAGTACTTATGTGATCATAACTTAAACAACTGAAACCATATATAGTGACAGGTTCAAATAAGAAGGGAAAGGTTAATATCTAATCCACTAGAAAAATCCGAAAAAATCTGTTTCAAGATGCATATGTGAACCAACAATACAGATAATTCATATGGGTTCACATATGCATCTTCAAATGAATTTTTATAATGATTCACATAGGAACCTTCACTTCTTAGATCTTACCTTCTCACGAATATTTAGCATTCTTATTGAACCTCCCGTTATACACACACACACACACACACACACATATATATATATATATATATCCAATAAACCTTGAGAATAGTGGCAGTGAGTTTGCAAATCATGGCAATTAGTACATGGAAATGAAAATAAGAATTAGAACATGGCATAAAAAGTACACTGCTCTTTTCTATTTGAGTCCTCACTCCTCAGAATTCGAAGCACATTCTCCTCAAAAATTAGAATTGAAAATGCAGCAAGCCAAAAATCGGAATTGGAAAAACACTAAATCAAAAATCATATTTTACTCTTCTATTTCCTAAATTTACAAAGATAATGATTAATCATATATATAAACCTAAAATCTTAAATACCTAATCAAAAATCATCTAAGCCTCTATGTACTTGTTATTAAAACATCAACAATAGTAAAACTAATTACTAGTGACTAACCGTGAATCAAGATTTCAAATGCGAGATTCGTGAGAGGATTTCGTCTAGGTTTAGCCGTGAATCGATAGATGAGGCGAGCGAGAGGCCGAGAGACGGTCGAGAGTCGAGACTTGAGAGAGGCAGAGAGCGAGATTTCGATTCGTGATTCGTGAATCGTGAGTTCAGAAGAGTGGTGATTCACTGATTAAAGAAAACTCTTCGTCCATGACTGTGAGCGACAGAGCAAGGCGAGACTGCGAAAGTCGAGGGAGGAGGAGGTGGACGAATCAAGGCCGCTTGAGAAGGGGAGAGCATCGGACGGGTCGGATCGGATCGGGCCCAAAAATGGGTAACCCGATCGGGTTTCGGTTTACAAAGACATACCCCGAAGTACATTGTTCGGGGTTCGGGGGTAGTCGGGTTCGGGGAAGATTGGGTTTGAGGATTTTCGGGTCGGGTTGGGGAAAGATCGGGTTTGAGGATTTACAAAGACAAACCAATATACAGCTAAGTGATCAATGCATTGTGTATAAGTATAACCCAAGTGTAAAATTTTATGAATCTAAAGAATAAAATCAAGCCCAATGGCACCTATCATAAACTGTTTGCAAGCTTTTATACATCACAGCCCTTAAAATAAGCAAGAATGCTATTTCTGTGGATAATGAAAAGTAGAAACCAAAATGGCAAAAGTAGATCAACGGTCAACACAATTTTCACATTTATGATATTACTTCAAGTGACCATGTTAGAGTGTATTTTGTATGTTTATCCTTGCAGTCTTAAAAGTTAAAAGCTACCAATTCAAATTGTATTTTGCGTGGATTGATGTATTTGGAAATTGGAATGTTCATTGTTCTTAGAAGGTAAAATAAGTGGGATTTAAAGTTTTCCTCTTTATGTAATTCCTAATTGCATTTGCTACTAATTACACACAGATAACTTCATTGAACAGATTTTACACAGATAAGATAAGAACTTGGATTCTGATTTCTTAACCAAAATTAAACAGCAACATCCACCAGGGACGGCCCTGGTCATAAGCCCAGGGGGTGACGACCCAAGGCAACAAAAACCAGCCCAATATACATGTATAGGTTGATTTTTGATTTGAGCCTAAAAAAATGTTACCATTACCAGTCCCGAAAAAACCAACCGACGAAACCCGACACCGAACCCGAAATATTCTCCCGAACCATCCCGAAGTCCGAATCCGATTTTTATATCGGGTATTGTAGGATCGGGTAGGATCCTACGATCCATCACCCGAACCCGCCCGAAACCCGATCTGGTTGAGATGTTGGGCTTGGGCCTTTGAGATGTTGGGCTTGCTTAGTGATCTGGTTGAGTAGTAGGCAACGCCATTCATCGTCTTCCCCTAATCCACGCTTCCTCTTGCGACTAGACTAAAAACATATCTTTCCGTGGCACCGGTACTAATTAATATGTTTGCTCGCGGCAATTGTGTCCGACTCCGACCGCCGCCTGCCCTCCGATTCCGACCGCCGCCTGCCGTCCGACTACTGCCGAGTGGCGACGAGCCGACGAGACTCACGAGAGATTTATGTAAGTTTTGCTCAGCCTTTTGATGATAAAATCCATGGGCGTTCCAGCGGGCGTTATTCACGTCTTACACAACAACCCCTTAAAGGAAGCTCAGTTGGTAGAGCTCCGCTCTTTTGAACTATTGATTTACGTAATTGGAAGTAACCAATTTTCAAATCTCCTCAAGTAGGATTCGAACCATGGATAAATCCAAGCGAACAAAAGGGTACCTGTACCCGAAACCGACACAGGTGAGCTTGTTTTATAGCAATAGTAATTAATCGTTGGATTTTTTTGTCTACCTTACTTTAGAGTTTTCCGAAAAAACCTGCTAGTGGAGGGCAGAATAGCAGAGCAAGTACTGATGGCAGTGCATTTTATGGCCTAAACACCATGAGTGCAGTACAACTCTACAAAATCCCTAACTCTATGGTGATTCTCCAGCCATCAACATCGACCAGACCATCTTATTGGTTTTATTGCTTTTACTTCCTATTTTTTTTATTAAGAGAATGAACTTCTTTATAAAAGGAAACGCAAGATTATGTTGGGAATAATGGAAATCAAAATTAAAGTGAGTGGTAATAATAGAACTGAAATGAACTTTTTTTTTAGGTTGTTGCTATCTTTTCCTTGTAAAAATGGGAATGCCCATTTCTATTGTGTAATTTCTTTTTAATCCAATAATTTTTTTCCGGGGGTTCCGTCCCCTTTTACCCAAAAAAAAAGTGTGAAAATAAGAGCTTTTGTTCAACAAAAACAAATGGGGAGAATTTCCCCCAAGCTTTATGCTCCTACAAAAAATCCTAATGCCACAAAGTTCATTCCAGTGCTAGGTTAAATAAAAACAAAATATCACACACCGGGGCATTTAATCGAACATTTGGTACTCAGATAAAACCAACATAAACCATCAAGGAAATCGAAGGCCCAGTCAAGGAAATCAACATCATTGGTTTTCATCAAACTTTTTACCTCATTAATGTCAAATGAATCATCGCACTTGGTGTTCATACAAAAAAAAAAACAAACAAGAAAAAGAAGATGAAACATACCAGAAGTCTAGGGTAGAGACTGAGATTGAAGTTAGGGCAGACCGTGTACTTCTTTTTCCACTAAAACTGAACCAACCGAGATTAATTACAGTTTGGACCTCCATCTCTGTGTGTTTGTTTAATTAGTGCACATTTTACAAAATAATCCCTTCGTATCCGAGTAAAAAGCATATAGAATGGATCACTTTTAATTTGGTCCCTTCATTTTTCAGTTTAGTGCACCTTTTCTTCTTTTATTTCTTAAATATCCTGGAGCATCCCTTAATTTTTAGCGTATGCACCTTAACAAATTTAGATTGAGCAGGTGCATGAGACCCTGCTCCCCATCCTATAAATCCGCCCTTGCTCGGAATTGTATGATGATAATAGAATATTTATGAGCATTTCGATAAGTTAATTTTTTAATCTAATGGCTAAAAAATAAGGAATTTCAACCACCTTCAATTGATAGCCCACAAAAAACCAGACATTCATTACTTCATCTACCTTCAAACTACATTAATATTTACATTTATCTTCACTTTCAACCACATTCACGACCTTTTACATGCATTCAATCACTTTCACTTGCATGAATAAAATTTCAATCATAGTGAATATCAATAGGTAAATAAATGTACATTCTCACCAAAAGAAATTCGTTCTAAGGGGAGACATTCCATATAAATGAAAATAGACATTTCTTAACGTTTTAATTTACATTAGAATAATTAATTAATATGTGAGTTGGTATGGATACAACATTTGACACCGGAATCAAGGAATTTATGGATGGATTAATGGAGATGTAATGTAATATCAAGGATGCTTCTTACTATGTATTAACAAAACTTTTCATGAATAAACAAAGGTAGATTGCTACTTTGTTCATGAGAAGGTAGTTGACACTCCTTGTAAACAACATGCTATCAAGACGGTTTGGGTCCATTTAGGAGATCAACCTGCCTATGTATTGAGAAAGTCGCTTTGAAGATCATAAGGTAATTTGTTAGAGGTGAAGTCATCTTTCCAAAAAGAATAACAAGTTAAAGGCACATGACAAGTTGGACATGATTTATGTCTAGGCTCCAACTTAAGAGTCTAAATCATAGTTTAGCTTTGTCTATTCGTGTACTTTGTGCAATTTTCATGGTTATATAAGTAGTTGATGTTTCTAATGTGTATATATAAAGGGGTTTTAATTCTTCATAATCCTGGACAATTTTTCCTGATTATATTTTATATTAGGGCTGCTAATGCTATAATGACAGTTGTCTAATTTCTTATTGTCTTCTCTAAAAGAAAATGAAAATTTCTCAAAGTAGGCTTTTTCCTACAAACCAAAGATGTACTTGTATGATTAGGGATGGTGATTTGGCCCGACCCGGTGGGGAACCCGGTTCACCCAACCCGGACGGGGACGGGGATTCCCCGCTAAAACGGGTACCGGGGCCGGGGCCGGGGATCCCCGGTAGAGGCAAGCCGGGGATCCCCGGTAGAGGCAAACCGGGGCCGGGTATTGTATCCCCCGACCCGCCCCGCACCCGGTATATATATAAATATTAACATTTTGATTATTTGGGCTTATAATTGATATGTGCGGCCTGTTGAACTTATGGACTTGGGCTTTGTAATTGATATGTCCAAATTTCAATCATCTTCTACTCTTCTTGACTAGATATGATGTAATTATATTAACACTTGTTTTAAATTTTACATTTCTTTGGATTATTGTTAATTTTACAATTTTATTATTTTTATTAGGCAAAACTAGATATGATGTAATTATGTTGTTATGTTGATCATGCTTAGAAAAAATTATTAATTTTTATTTGACCGGGTGTTGACCGGGGGTTGACCGAAGGTTGACCGGGGGTTGACCGGGGTTGACTGAAAGTTGACCGGGGCCGGGGACTGTGTGTATAAACCGGGGCCGGGGCCGGGGCCGGGGATTGCAAACCCCGCCCCATCCCCGCCCTGTTGCCATCCCTATGTATGATTGGTATTTCATGTCATCTACTTATCAGTTTATTTGTGTTCATCCATCATGTGGATGTAGCTCTTTCATGCTAATCTGTGTGTTGTTGTAGAAAATATTGAAAAGTTTGAAATCAAAGACCTTGTTTGTCTTTTAAAGAAAAAACACTTATTACTATTAGTCTCTTATTTTTGATTCTTTAAGAGATAGGGTCATTCGGCCTGTTTGGTTTTTCCAATTTTTTAGAGGCACTTATATCTTAGTGTCCTCTTATCTGGTAAAAGGTAAACCAACCTCTTATTTGCCTCTTATTGTTCTCCAAACTTTCAACAACGATGTTTGTCAATCGATTAACCTTAATCGATCATTTCTCGCAATCGATCCTTATCAAATCAATCCTCTCCTCTCTCAATTGATGCATTTTATTAGGATTTAAATATGTTAAATACCTTAATGACATATTTTCTATAAATGAATGCTAATTATGTAATTTAGATGTAAATTTCGTAATGATGATGATAAAATATGTGAAATTATATAAATGCATCTAGAAATTCAACATTATAATTTTCTAATGAGTAAAATAGACAATTTAAACAAATTCAAATATTTATAAGTTTACAAAAACAAACAGTCTTATTGATCCAGATTTCAGACTTCAACACCACCTTTTATCAATCATAAGTGAAATAAAACTTCAGACTTTGCACCTCTTAAAAACAACACTATCAAAGTGTTGTTTTGCAGGTAGACATTCAATTGAGGAAATTAACACTTATAGATTTGGTGATCTCCATGCAAATACTACTAATAGTGTTGTTATGATCACCTATATTCCATCTTGGCTGACTGTTGCTATAAGAGATGAAGGATGGTAAGTGATCTAAAACCGAATGCAATTATATGCAACCTTGGAATCCATGTTATCACTATAATATTAGTTAGATGTGTTAATGGTAAAAATGATGGTTGTTGCATTACTCAATTTTTGTAATTGTTTGTTTTTCAAGTGCTAGATGATACATCACAACACACATATTGGTAGTTGGGATAGATCTGAATGTATACGCCGCAAGGGCGAGTTACAGATCACAAGATAGGCTTCACTCGTCATTCCATCAACGATCTGATACAAGGGAGAGAGTTTCGACTACTTTATCTTTTGCAACAAGAAATGGATGTAGTTTTGCATTTTGATTCAAAAACTGCAATTAACATTTTTCTTCTTCCACTGATAGATCAACAAGGTTGTAAAGAGAATAAATATTGTCAATGAAAGGTGGAGGTGTTTGATAAGCATGGTTTATTACATGCTTAAAGTACCTATTTCTTATATTTATTAGGTAGATTTTCATAGTTTATCCCAACCTTGAGTCATTTTTACTTCTTTATTTTCCATTTATTATGTTTGGAGCTAATTGTGATAATGAATATGTTTTTACAACAAGTTGGAGTAGATAACATTTTTTGACTCAGTTCACTGCACTRTGATGCTGCAGCATTCCAACAGCATTGCCCGGCTGCATCTTGACTTTTGTAGGAGGTGCTYAATGCTTAAGTCATATCTTGGAAGGAAGTCTKWATGGAAGAAGCCCTCGTTTTTGGACTGGTTGCAGCTGGTGACAAGAGTTGGAGATGACCCTTGGAAGACTTTTTGTGATGGAGAAGAAAGCTCCTTTTTATTGTCTTTTCTAAGTTGTACCTCTTTGTACTTTGTACTTTCCTTGGTTTTGTCTTTTCCTCTTTGTGTTGGATATAAAAGAAGGCCTTTGGCCACTCTTTTCCACACACCATC